GCCCGACTTTTGACCTTTCCTTACTGCTTTTTTTTATTATTTACACATATATTTTTTGATAGGTAGGGGAAATTAATATATTTCTGTCGCTTAAGTTATATTTAAACTTCTTCCGTCCTCTGAGGCTTATAATAGAACCCCATATGCGCCATAATAGAGCCCCATATTCGGGATTTTGATGCATTTAGGCATATGTTTCTAACGAATGTTTCAATGGTATTTTGAGTTTATAATAAGTTTTATATTCGTTGCCAAAGCAATAACTACGAGTATACATGTCCACATTTTACTCTAGTGCCCCTATAGCAATATATTCAGATATTGAGTATTTTAACGATATAAGCCATATTTTGTATTAAATTCGTTTAAAATTCGGTGTTTGCTATTCGTAATGATTTTTAGATTATGTGGCAGGACATTCACAATATAGACCTACGTTTTCCTATAGAACCCATATAATGCGCACCTCCATTAAACGAATATATGTGTTTAATCCTGAATATTACTATGAATATTACTCCAATTTCCAATTTTCTGTTTCGTTTTCTGTAGGCCATTTGTTAGAAATCGAAATTTACTATCAGCCTATTTTGTTCAATACATCATTCCCCACTCCCCAGCTAAATTGGACGGCACTGTCAAGTTTGAAGTTTTGCCTCTTTAATTATTTGTTCATAGTTTGTTTTTATGCTCCAGTTTCAGGACAATTGTTTTCTACTATTCTCTACATATATTTCCATTGTGTTTTTCCTCCCCCAAAAAATATTTGTTGTCCATCGCGTTTTGTTTATGGTTAATGGTGTGTGCATCAATTTTTGATTTATTTTTAGTTTGGAACATTCCCCCCTTGGGGTTGGCAGAGTAGAAAAAGAACGAAAACAAATCAAAAAAAGATATGGAAAACAATAAAGTCTTGGTTTGAAATTCACATTTCTAGAGCAACTGAAATAGTGGACCACAATAGTTGTTCAATTTAAAGATGTTGTAAATTTTATTTGAAATAAAAACAAGTGAAAATGCTGTAAGTTTGACCAGGTCGAACCTTGAATATCTTCCACCATTTGGAACGAAGTTGGTTATATTCAAAAAAATAAAATAAAATCCGTTAAAATCTGTTTTGATAAAATCTGAAAAATACCAAATGTAGCCGTTATATTAGGGTCTATACGTGGACCTGCATAGGCAACTTCTGTAACAAGCCAATATAATAATGTAGCAAATTAATAATGTAGCTAAAACCATCAAAATACCGAATATAGGGAGGTACAATTATATGGGGCTATAACAAACACAGATAATTTTCTGCCTTAGACTTAAGTATCCATTACGAACTTCAAATAATTTTAATCACCAAAATATCGAAAATAACTAGATATACCGAAACGTGGACCTAGATGACTAATTTTCAATACCAAAAGTCCTGCAAACATAGCATACGTTAGAGTAGAATTTTATCAACAAACGGATGGACATCGACATAGAATTTTATGCTGATCAAGAATATATATATATATACTTTGTGGGGCCTGAAATGTATATTTCGAGGTATCATAAACGGAATGACAAACTTAATATACCCTCCATACTATGGTGGAGGGTTTAAAAAGAAAATACAATTTCTTATAAATAAACAAGGTTGTTAGATTTATATAGGCTCATATGGATATATTTTTCATGGAACTTTCATGTTAAAGATACAACCCCCTTTATTCAAATTGTGTACAAATTAATTTCGATATTGATGTCCAAAAAATAATATTGCAGAACTTTTTTGGTTCACTGGTGTTTAGAATTACAAATCGATGTGCCATCCCAACAATTCCCTTGAACAGTGTTTTGTGAATTTTTGTTCATTCCATATTTCGTTTTAAGTGCCTCACAAGAACTCTTAAATTTCTAAACAATGCAAATGGTTAATTTCATTTCTTGATATCCTATTTTCATATTTGATTTGAAACACAAAATGATTTGCATTCCGAAGTGAGTGAATTTCGTTTTCAGTTTTTCATCTTCACTCAAGTTGAAACAATGAAATTTCCACATGTTTGGCTTCGTTATGCTCTGGTAAATGCATCAAGGAATTGAGTTTTTCAAAACGATTCGATTCTCTGTCAATCGAACTTCAAATGCTAAATGTTAACGAAATTGCATGTGTGAAGATAAGAATGAGCAACGCAATGATGTGTTATGGAAAGTAGTTGTTAAAGAGCTTCTGTGATTTTCCTGTTTTTCTCCGGAAAGTGGAATTATTTCCTAAAATAGAAGATGGGGTATACTGTTTAATTCAACAATGGGAAACAAATCGAAGTTTCCAATCTTTTGTGCAATGAATACTTTGTGAAAGATTTTCTATTCATTCGTGACAGAAAAAAAGTAAAGGGAGACAGACAATAGCCCTTAAGATACCCCACGCAATTAGACTGTCCGACAACAGATAGAACGCCGACAAGCCTTTAAAATCTCCCCCCAGCTTTGAAGGTGTCTATGGGCCACTTTGAGAAAACAACAAATCTTATGCTAGCAAAAATGTTTGTGTGTGTAAAATTTGAAGAGAGTTGGATGCTTATTTCGCTTTCTTTGAGCGTTATGTTTTGCAAATCTTAAACCCTATATGGGGGAAGTACCAGAAGAAATGGCCTGATCTCTACCATCTTTAGAACAGATCTAGTGTTGATAGCAATGTGCCAAGTCTGAATGGAATCGGATCTCAATTTCGCGTTTTATGAACTTAGGAGTTATTCAAAACTGTGTTGGAGGTACCAGAAGAGGTGGACATATATATTCCATCTTCACACCCGACCTTAGGTTAATAAAACTTTTGTGATGTTACATCACATTTTATAAGAGTCATAATTATTCAAAATGTTGACCCTTGCAAAGGTGGAGCAAAATCGAGTTATCCTTTCTCTTTCTGTGCAGTAAAATATATATATATGGGATGAAAAAACTGCAACTAAATTCAGACTGCTGTCATTTCTAAGCCACTCGTCCGACAGCTGTTAAAACTCCAGTGGCAGTTCATTAAATTGTTTACAAGCGTACAAAAGCATTTTGGTGAGAATTTTCCAGAAAAAAAGTTATTCGTGATGGAATTCAAGCGTGATTGTGTGATTTCTTTATATTTGGCTGGAAAACCACAAGTGGCTATCGTTAGAGAACTCCAGCATTTAAATGTGAATAAATCTCTTGTGTCTCGTACCATCGCTCGTTACCGTGATACTGGAGCGTAGCCCGACGTCAAGGAAGTGGACGGAAAAAAAACAGCAACATCAGCAGAAATGGTTTGAAAAGTACAGAAGCGACTTGATCGAAACCCGCGTCGCAGTGGCCAAAAAATGGCTTTTGAGCTGAACATATCGCAATATTCCATTCGGCCAATATTAAAAAATGAACTCGGGGTAAAGCCATTAAAATTCCAACAAGTTAAAAAGCAGTCAGTTCGGCCGGGTCGAACTTTGAATACCCTCCATCATTTGGAACAAATTTGGAAATTTTCAAAAAAATAAAATTATTAAAAATTCTGTTAGAATTTTAAAAATACCAAATATAGCCATTATATTGGGATCTATACGACGTGGACATATATAGGCATTGTTTGTCATAAGCCATTGCCATATTCAAATTCGAAACTTGAAATAAACGGTGAATAATGTAGCTAAAATCAGCAAAATATCTATATAGGGAGGTACCGTTATATCGGAGCTCTGCGAAGACCTGGACCTGCATAGACAATTTTCTGTCACAGGCTGTAGCATCCATTACGAACTTCAAATACCACATCTCAAACAATTTCGGTGGGTATTGTACCTAAAATCGTCAAAATACTGAATATAAAGAGGTACTGATATATAGGGCCAATACGATGACCTGGACCTGAGAAAACGTTCGTTGTCCAGCAGTTTGTAAACAAACAAAAATTATCGTGCTTACTTGCCAAAAGGTCAGCTGAAAATGTGCCACCAGAACTCAAGCGCCGTCCATGGTGATGGTGTGGGCCGCCATAATAGCCGATGGTCGCTCTCCGCCTCTATTAATCGACCGTAGTATCGGAATAAATGCCGAATATTATCGCGAAAATATTCTGGAGGGTGAATTAAAGCCTAGGGCACGCAAACATTTTGGCCGCAAAACTTTGGACATTCCAACAGGACTCAGCACCATCGCACCCAGCACTCGCCACAAAATGAGATTCCTCGTTTCATTTCCAGCACACAAATCTCCGGATACCAATCCGTTGGACTATTGTGTCTTGAGTATTTTGGAAAGCAAAGTGTTGATCACCTCAAGCAAGCTCTTCGCCGGGAATGGGCCAAAATACCGCAGGGCAACATTCGGAAAAATCTAAACTTATTCTCAAATTTGATTATATTTCCGACATGTTTGCTTTCATTCAAAATGAAAAAATTATGGCGTATAGAGACTATATACCTTAAAACGCAAAGATTTCAAGGAATCTTAATCCGAAGAAGGCGAACTTATCCCCTCTATTTAAGTTATTTTGCGATGTTATTTTTAAAAACACAGATAAACGTGTCTTCAAATTTTTGCTCTACTTCCATAATCTGCTGGATGTTTTAGTATAATCACCTATTTGAGACACAGTCGGTTGATATTATAAAAACTGGCATTTGTTGAACATACCTGCCAGCCAAATTTCTGGATCTTATGCCAGTTTATGCCACAATATTTTTAATTTTTTGTTAGCTTTTTTTAATCATATAAGTTAAGAGAAGAGATCTGCAATTCTTACACAGAAAACCATTTCAAATTTACACCACCTATTGAACAGTACAATCCTGATGAAACTTTTCAATATCATATCGCATTGCTGTTGCTACCACCCCAACAACATTTCACCATCAAAAACACCCAACTCAGGCACACATCATTGTTTGGCGAACAACAACAAAACTCAATTTCCTGGATTTTACTTTTCTAACCACTTATCGTCATTTCACCATTTCATGTTTTTCGCCTGTTCTTCTCTCATTTTGTTACAGAAATCATCGAAGCCCACAAGAACCATCAGCTTTGTTCGCTGACAGGCGTTGAAGGTGGACATTCGTTGGGCGGTTCATTGGCTGTGCTGAGGACTTTATATGCCATCGGTGTTCGGTATATGACACTGACATCGACGTGTCACACACCATGGGCGGATTCCAGTTATGCGGATGCACCAACGTTCAACGTTAAACATGGAGGTTTAACGATATTTGGCAAGGTAAGTACTGACACTTTACATTCCTCCTTCTAGGCTTGCAGCACACCATTCTACAACAATACTAAATATAATAGTCGAACAGGTAGATTTGCCATTGCCAAAGGCTCCAAAGCCATTTTTACTCGGGGACTATTTACGCTAGGTGGAGGGGAGTAGAGAACACCAATCGATTGATATGATAAACCTCGGAATAAATTGTCCACCAGAGCTATTTTCGTTCTACAAAATTTTCTGCACGTTTTGTATTAAAAATGTCAACGCTGTCATCTATCATCATCGGACAGAGTAATATTAGCTGCTCAGAAACATGTTCTGTTCACGATAACACAGGTACGAGTAAAGTGGATTTTGTTTTCCATTGAAAGCCAGACCAACGAGGAGCAAAGCATTTCTCAACAATTTGTAAGAACATCAAATTGGCTGGCGGCAACGACAGCAGATGGATGAGAAGTCACCGTGATGTCGATTTTTTAATTGAACAATTTGAAAAGCAAATTGGGAAATAATTTGATTTTATGATGAAATAAAGGCAGGCATTGAGACGATATCAAATTTTTGGGAAAGGGAATGAAAAAAAAAAAAAAAGAATGAAAGCTAATTTGTAATGATAAAGCTATGTAAGTAGGGGATATGATTTGTATAGGAACAGTTCTATTTTCCTATAAGTATAAGCTATTTCAAATGGGAACGTCTTCTTCAAATAGAAACCTTAAAACGGTGTTCTCTAGGACAATGAAAACAAGTAAAGAACTTTTAATACCGTTCACCATTTCGAAGGAACTTGACAAAATGCAGAAAAAAAATCCGTCGAAAAATACCGGTCCTGCATATACATTTTTTTCATAGGCTATAGTACCCTATAGTACTATAAACGCGAAATTTGAAACAATTTGGATAAAAAATGTCTCTAATATCATCAAACTGGAAACAATTCCGGTGAATAATGCCGCTAATATCCTCAAATTACCAAATATAGGGAGGTGTCGTTATATGTAAGTTAAGTAAGTTGAAGAAGTGGACCTACATAGATAATTTTCCGTCATAGCTTGTAGTATCCATTACGAACTTTATATACGAAATTTGAAACAATTCCGGTGAATAATATTCTTAAAATAATAAAAATTCCGAATATCGGAATATATCGTTATGTGGGGGCCATACGAAGAAGTGACCTGGGCTATACGAAGACGTGGACCAATTTTCTGTCACAGGCTGTGGTGCCCATTACGAAGTTCGAATACGAAATATGAAACAATTCCGGTAAAAAAAATCCCTAAAATCATCAAAAATCAACCGAATATCGGCAGGTATAGTTATGTAGGGGCTATATAAAAACGTGGACAGACAGGGCCCATTCATGGTCTCAACGACTAGCTATTCGGTGTTTTTACGATTTTAGTCACATTTTTCAACAGAATTGTTTCAAATTTGGTACTTGGAGAAAATTTGTTATACAAACTCACGTTTTCATATAAACCCAATGGGTACCTCCCCATATTCTGTATTTTGATGATTTTGGGGGCATTATTCAAAGGAATTATTTTAAAGTTAGTATATGGAGTCGATAATAAGTACTATATTCTCTGATAGAAAATTATACACATAGGCACACATTTTCGTATGGCCCCCATATTATTTTGATGATTATACCCTCAATCATGTGTCCAGAGAGGGTATATATATCATTTGATACGCCCAAAACGTGCCTCATCAAAATAACGGTTTTAGACTTTAGGCCTCTTTGGACCAAATACGTTTCAAGACATTTGGAGTCGATCTGGTGGTGACCGTCCGCCCGTCGGTCTGGCTGGCATGACACTCGAGAGTTATCGTGCGCACCAGTCAGACAGACGTCCGGACGGAAATCGCTATATTGACTCCAAATGTATCCGATTTGGTCAAAACTTGGTATATCGTAATGCTATTATAAAGCGTACATCGAGTTCAGAGATGGGCAATATCGGTTAACTTCATAGGGTACCTCCCCAGGAACATTCTAATTTTAATATTTATGCTACGGTAGGTGCGAAAATAGACAATATCGCTCCATACCTCCCCCACAAAGGGTCAAAACTTTAAATAATTAAACCCCTTATAGATTGTGATATAAAAAATCCGATAGCCTACTACTTTCGCACATCACAATATTTTAATTAACCCAAGGTCTGGTGTGAAGATATGGAATATATCGGTCCACTCCTTCTGGTACCTCCCTTACAAATTTTTGATAACCAAAACGGTTAAAGATACACAATATTCATGCAAATATTTTCAAACTCAGCTCATTCCAATATTTCGATTAACACAAGATCAGCCGTGAAGATACCTCCCATGGGTTAAAATATTCAATAATTATGACTCTCATAAAATAAGGAATAATCATTCGGATCTCTTCATATTTCATACATTCCATTATTTCTACTTTCACAAGATTTGCTGTAAAGTTGGGATATATCGGTCGTTTCCCTCTTGTACCTCCCCCCACATAAAACGCTCATAAAACGCGAAATTAACATCCGATTCCATTCGAACTTGGAATATCTCAATATTTCTACCAACACAAGATCTGTTATAAAGATGGTAGAGATCGGAACATACCTTCTTGGTGCTCATAAAACCTCCTAACATCCTATTCCATTCAGACTTGGTACGTCTCAATATTTCCATCAGAACAAGATCTGTTTTTAAGGAACTTTAAAAAATGTCCAAAAAATGTTCTGTCGAAATATGCCGATTTAAAAAAAACCGTTATATGGAGGATATACGAAGACATGGTCCTGCATATACAGTTTTTATACCCTACAACACTATGTGTTGGGGTAATTATAAGTTTGATTGGCCCAAAAGATATGTAACACCACGAAATATTGGTTTCCCACATTGGTTTCCTAGCTCGCTGAGCTGAGTCGATCTAGCTATGCATGTCCGTCCGTCCGTCTGTCCATGTTAATTTGTAATCACGCTACAGGTCGCAATTATGGCCCGATCTTCACGAAATTTTGAATGGAAGTGGGGCTAGGTCAGAATAGAACCCTATTACTTTTGGATATAATCGCATAACATTTAGGGGTTGAAATGGACCAAAAACTGAAAAAATTCCAGATTTTGCAGTTGCTCTACAGGTCGCAATTATAGATCAATCTAAGCGGGAGTTATTATGGGGCTAGAGCTTAGGGCTGGGCAGAAGCCTTCCAATTTTGATGGTCATCGGGTAATATTTAGTGGGTGAAATAGGCCACAACATTTGTGTTAAATAAAAGTCAAATTTTCCATTAAACCGCGAATATTTTTAATCCCGGCGAAATCACAAATAGACGAACAGTTCAATTCTAACCGTTATGTAGATGCCGATAGTAAATATATCGGATATATATAGGGAAATATATACAATGTGTATATACAAAGGAAGGGGATGTTAGTTAGAATGCTTATATCTCAAGAATGGCTGGACCGATTTTGGCAAATGTCCTCTTGACATAAAGGAATAAAATCTAAAAAATCGCATAGAAAGGTATCAATAATGATGTTAATATAGATTTTGTAGTATTTTGTGACATTTTTTTATTTTTTCATATTTTTTATCGCATGCGATTTTTTCAATTTGACTTATAATATTGAAAATATAAATATAACAAAATATAACATTTTCCCACCTTACAGCACAGGTTGGGGTTATTATATATAGATTGCAATTATCGTCCGATCTTCACGAAAGGGTAGGGATAGGCTCAGAAGGGCTAGGCATATTGTTTTCAAAGATGTCTGCAATATATTTAGGGGTTGAAATGTACCAAGAACTAAAAAATTTCCTGATTTTGCAGCCGTTATAAAGGTCACAAGTAAAAAACAAAGGACACGAAATCTCACCTGAAGTTAGAGTTTAGGACAGCGGGTAGAATGGACCACTACTTTTGTGTGAAGAAATACTAACATTACTTACAGACGATATCCAAAATACACAAAAGGCGAACTTCTGGTTTCTTTATGCTGATTTCGTTGACGAATATAGCAGCATATTGTATACAAGCAAATCATATAGATGAGTTTAAATTTGAGGTACAGAGGGGCCTATTGCATTTTTTTTTTTTTTTTTGCATTTGCGATGATCGCAAAACATTTAGGGGTTCAAATGAACCAAAAACAGAAAAATTTTTCCAAAATAAATTTGGACGTAAGGGGGCTTCTTACATATTGTAGTGTTGTAGGGTATCACATGGTTGGCCCCGCACGACTATAGCCTTTGCTTACTTGTTTATTATAGGCTGTAATACCCCTTACGAAGTTTAAATGCGAAACTTCAAACAATTCCGGTGAATTATGTCGCAATGTGTCGCTGATGTATGAAGACGTGGACCTACTGAGACAATTTTCTGTCATAGACTGTAGTACCCATTGCGATCCTCCAATACGAGATATGAAACAATTTTGGTGAATATGGTTTTAGACTTAGAAGGTATCGTTATATGGGAACTATACGAAGATGTGGACCAGCATACGAAATTTTTTACGAACTTTAAATACAAAATTTAAAACAATTCCGGAAAAGTGTTGCTAAAATCATCCAAATAGCGAGTATCGGGGGGGATGGGATATACGATATCGTACACCTGTATAAACAATGCTCTTCCAGAGGGTAAAGTGCTCACACAAAACTCCTAGTGTGAATTTTCAGACAATTCCAGTGAAAATTTTGGCTACAATTATCCAAATAGCAATTATCGGGGGTACTACGGGGCTATACGATATCGTGGACCGATATAGACCATCTTCGAACTTAACCTGCCTGCAGACAAAAAACTGATCTGTGCACAATTTTAGCTTTCTATCTTAATTCGTTTTGACTCCAGCGTGATTACAACCGACGGACAGACCGACAAGGCTAAATCGTCTTAGCATTTTACGCTGATCAAGAAAAGATGTATATACTTTGTTAGGTCTAAAATTATGTTTTCGATGAGATACAAATGGAAAGACGAACGTAATAAACCCTCCATGCTATGTATGGTGGAGGTCATAAAAAAAATGTGCCATTTATAAAATGAATAATTTTTTAGCTTTTTCCTTTAAACAGCATTACTTAGCAGTTGCCTTTTTTATACCCTCCACCATACTATGGAGGGTATATTAATTTTGTCATTCCGT